ATTCATACTATTTTCTAGTTCACTTTTCCCTTAATTCCAGACAGATTTTTGAAATTTTTTCTTTGTTAATTTAAGAGAATAAAATAAATTCTTCATTAATTAAATTGGTGCTATTGAAATGGATAGTGGTTCATAATTAATGCCCCACTCTTCATCTTAGAATTTAACTTATTTGTGTACATACTTATTATCCATAGCTTGCTTGTCTTCCTTACTATTTTCTGACTCAGTTTTTTAATACTATTTTTCCTTTTTGTTTGTTTGGTTTTTGGTACCGGGGATCAAACTCGGGTCTTTGTGCTTGCGAGGCAGGTGGCGGAACCACTGAGCTAAATCCCCGGCCCCTTATTTTTCCTTTTTAAATGACTTACTGTATCTTTCTACTTATCTCTTTTTCATAGCATAACATCTTTCTCATCTCTTTAAAATTTATTCTCTTTACCTTTTACCCACTGGAGTTTTACTCTTTAAATTTAGCTTTTGAATGAGACCCAGAAGATATGGATAGTTTTGATCACACAAAATTAAAATTTCTGCACTGTTAGAAAAATATGAATAGTTTAAGGCAAGTGGCAGAGTATGAGAGAGCATTTACTATATATAATAAAAGACAAATACCTATAATATAGACACTCAACAAAATATTTTTACTCAACAAAAGACTTCATAGTGAAGAAAAATGCCACACACAAGAATAAAAATTTTACATGCACACACACATATATGTCATATATAGTCATTCATAGATGTATAGATATGTAGAGATAACCAGACTCATATGCAAACTATATAAATAATTCCTATAATTCAGTTTAAAAAAATAAAAACAAGACAAACAAAAAACTAACCAAATATACAAATGGCTGTAAATCATCACTCATCAAGTAAATGCCAATCCAAACCACTCCAAGATACTACTAAAGAATGGCTGAAGGGCCAGGGATTTAGCTCAGTGGCACCACGCCCACCTGGCAAGCACAAGGTCCTGAGTTTGATCCCCAGTAAGGAGAGCAGTACCTGAAATTTGAAGGGATGGCAATCCCCACTAATAACCAGTATGCATAAGTTTGTGTTTCCCAAAATAAAAGTTGAAAGTCCTAACACCAAAACCTCAGACTGACCTGAATCTTAAAAATAGAGTCGGACCAAATACCTCAGACTATGACCTAAAACCTTAAAAATAGGGTTTTGACAGAGGTTACCAACTTAAAATGAGATCGTAAGGTAGGTTTTGGCCTGATGTGACTGTTGTTCTTAAAAGAAAGGGAAATTTGGACATGCAGAAGGAAGACTATGTGGAGAGACATGGAGACAGCGTCTGTGAAGACAGAGAAATTGGAGTGAGGCACCTCAAGCCAGGAACACCAGAGCTTGGTGTGAAAACACCAGACAATAGACAGGCATGGAATAGAGTCTCCTTCCCAGGCCTGAGACCCTCATCCTCAACTTCCAGCCTCCAAAACTGTGAGACAATAAATAATTGTTATTTTAAGTCAACTAGTTTATGCTATTTTGTTATGGCAGCCCTAAGAAACTAATACTATGCAGATCAAATGGAATTTTTACACAGCGGTGGCCAGAGTATAAACTACTTGAGCTATTTTGGAAAACTGGCAATATCTAACAAAGCTAAACATGCGTATTAACTATGGCCAGCCGTTCTACAACTGGACATACCACCAACAGAAATGAGGGCCAATGTTCACCAAAAAAAGTATCAGAATGTTTATAGCAGTATTATTAGGAGTAGCCAAAAAGTAGAAATGACTCATATAGCTGTCAAATAGCACAGTATTTTCACTGTGCTATAACTATGTAATTGAGTACTGCAGGGCAATGAAAAGGACTGAAGTACTGCTATATGCAACAGGGATTATCTTAGACATCACATGAGTGAAAGAAGCTACTTATATCTGGATGTCCCTCAAGAGCTTCACACATTCATAGGCAGGGCTTTGGGGAGGTGATTAGATTATGGGAGTTTACAGCTGACTCACTGATAGAAGGCAGCAGTCTGGTCAGAAAAGGTAGCTCACTGGGCTCCCCACCTCCTCCCTTCTCTCCCTGCTTCCTGGATATGAGGTAAGCAGCTTTCCCCGACCCAAGCCCTTCCAACGTGCTGTTCAGCCTTGGAGTCAGCTGACTACAGGCTGAAACCTCTACAAACTGCGAGCCAAAATTAAACTTTCCTCCTTTAAGTTGTGGGTGTCGGGTACTTTCTCCCAGAAACAAGGGAAGTAACTAAGACAGAAGCCAAATGCAAAAGAGTTCACAATATGCTATTTATATAAATTTCACAAAGAAAACTAATGTATGAAAATAAGGATTCAACTATGAAGAGTAGATATCTACTGAAAGGAGGCCACAAGAGAACTT